CGGGACCTATATATATACATATATGTATCTAGACTATATTTTGTAGGGGTTTTAAAGTTGAACAAATATCTATGAATTTTCAAAAAGAAAATGTTGCTTTTGGTGGGTACTAATATGGTTATTCGTAATTTTATCACTTGAAATTAATTTTCAAAAGCTATTCTAAGGGTATTTAATATCGATCATTGCAATTTGCCCTTACATCAATCGCCTTCTAAGTAGTTAAAAGCATTTTCAATCATCGTCACGAAAAATTTTAATATCACGATTAAGAAGTCCAATTCACAGATTGGTTTATTAAGAAATTGGTTTTGAAACGATTTGATATACCTACTAGGGTATGAGTAGGTATATCAAATCGTTTCAGTTTAAAAACTGAAGTCATCAAGGGCTTCAAGTTTTGTTTAGATATACATATATGTATATGATTCGAATTCACCAACTATCAAAATCGGTAGTCGATTCCGATGGTTTCAAGGCTGAAGTCATTAAAGAACCCACTGATATTGTAGTCAATCACCACAACAACAGCTACAACACCTGCTGCGACCTCATCATGCACCCCTAAAGGCACAAGACTGCAATTTGAAACAACAATATCCCCATCAACGATATCAACATTAAGTTGTAGAATTTATTAATCTTTTCATATAGATATATACATATATCATTCAAAATCAGAAATGAGGCAAGCGATCCTTTGGCTGAAATATTTATTAGTCTTGGCAAGTATTCGATCTCTTTTAAAATAGTAAAACAAATATTCATTGATCGTCAAAAACATTTTTAATATCACGATCGAGAAATCCAACACATTTCGTTAAAATCACTCACCCTAGGAACATCTAATCTTTGAATAATTGACAAAAGATTCCATTTCCTATAAAGCGCTTTATACATACTTTTTTGAAGTTATCAAATGCGTTTTTACTGATCGTCAAGAAAATTTTCTAATCATGATCAAAAACCTATCCACATTGTGGATTTCACAGATCGGATGTACTGGTCACACAAATTTATGGGGAAACAGAACTTGATTTGTTTTTTGAAAAATTTTAAGATTTCATAGTCTCATAAAGTGCTTCAAGTTTCGGTTAGATTCCATAAATTCAGAGTAAATTAGCGAAATTTTATACCCAAATATTTATACTTTTAGTGGCAAGGGTAATGATGAGAGTTTTCCAAATTAATCAAAAATTATCATTAACATTTTCTTTATAGAATAGAAATTTTTAAATAATTCACGAAACTTGAAAAACTTCCAAGAAATAGGGAAACAGTTTCAATTTCTACAATTAAATTTAAGGTTAATAGAAATATTAAATATTATTACTAATTGAATTTTTCAGTTGCAACAGAAATTTTGCTGAAATATGATCATCAGAACCATAAATCATAGTATCGTCTACAAAATAAAGGTAGTTTTATAACGGCTATTGTTTTTTGTACATTTAACTACAAATTCTGCAAAAAAATATATTAAAACGGTTGCTTTAAAAAGAAACTAAATATTTGCATTTTACATTCAACATAACCACAATTTATAAGATCAGATAAAATGCAAATTTATAAAAAAATGCATACACTAAACGTATGTATAAAAACAGACATAAAACATAAGTGCTTTTTTAGTAAAAAAAAAATTATGCGAATTTTTCAAAATACATATTTAAAAGGGTTAAATTTACCATGATTAATGTAAATTAAAGAAAGCCCTTTGTTTAGTAAAAGATTGCCATCATTTGTTTGTCTTATTTCACCCCCCCAATTTTCTTTAAATGCAAATGAGCAGAATGAATTTAAAAGAAAGAAAACTGCAATAATAATTCTGGGAAAATATTTGCATTGTTTTTAAAAATGTTTTACTTTAAATAAATGTTACAAGAAATAAAAACCCAAACTCTTTAAAAGTCACGTTTTTTTTTTCAAGTTTAAAGTTTTCCCTGAGCCAAATCCCAAGTATGTTGAGCAAATCCTCCCGTGTTATCCAACCACAGCACCTTGAATTTTTTTGAAATAAATAGTGATAAAGAAGAAAAAAAAAAGAACAATAAGATCAAAACTTAATATTATCTTTTGCTAAAATTTAACAAGTCATGTTTGTTAAATTTATAACAATAGAAATCATACTTCACCCTTGTAACGGTTGCCCGCCTTTTGTGATTCAAAACGTTTTTCAAATAAAACTGGTGAGAGCTCTACATGACCCGTATTAACATAATGAGGTTTGGGATAATTTAAGAAAATATCACTAAATATTAACGAGAAAATGTAAAAGAAAGCCATAAAATTTACATAAATTTATAAAGCAATATTAAAGGGTAAAGCTTAAGGTGTAAAAAGTCAATAATCATGATAACAATTCAATATTTTCTAAAGCGACCACAAATAAATTGTTTATTAAACACACTTACTGTAAATATCGAATTTCATGAGAAATCTTTGTTGTGGGTATCGAAGATTCCCTCGTAGAGGGTTGTTTTATTGAAGAAGTTGCTTTGGCTGCTGCTGCATATTGCTGATCATTTACATCATTTCGATCTTGTATTTCTTTGTTATTCTGCTCAATTAATTTATCATCATGATTTTCCCTTAAATTTCTTTGTTTTCTTATAAAAACTGTTGTATTTTCTTGCTCTTTATTGTTTGTTAAATGACTTGCCCTTTTAGTGTTTGTATTGATGTGATAGATTTGATTATTGTAATTAACGGATGATGTTCGATTTCTTATATCTTCATGGGGTGCATGTAATATTTCACTTTCTAAACTGGCTGCCATGACAGGTCGCACATTTGCAATGTTTGTGTTGGTTTTTGGGCGTGTTGCTGTCAATGGATTATTGAAATGATATTGAACAGGATAAATATTAGAGTAGCCAGGTTGTTGGTAGTTTAATGCTGGTGTTTGACTTAAAAAAATATTTGATATTGCACCAGCTTGATAAGGTGTTACAGGGGAAAGTGTAGTAGATTTTCTTAGTTTCGGATTACAATCTTTACATTTTACACCATTGCTTTCTTTTTGGTAGTGAGTAACGTTAAGACCTTTATGTTGTAAATATTTTGGCTGATAAATTGTTAAACTTAAACAAACTTTTATAATTATTAGAGATTTTATGAAAATTTCAATGATTAACATTTTTCTATTTACTGAATTAAACTGTCAATAGTTGCGTTATAAGTTTGCCAATTTATAATATGATTATAGCCGGAAATTAATATCTTAGTAACGGTATCTGATTGTGGTTGACAATATTATAATTGTGGTTTTGGATCACCAAATACAATGTACAATAACATTTCCAATTATGGCAAAATATGGGTTAAGGAGTTATAATCTTAAAAGCAATTAAAATAAAGATAACCTCACGAACAGTGTTCGGGACTTATAGACAGAGATGGAATTAATAAAATCAAGTAAAACAAAATATGATTGACAGGACGTCTTACCTGACACCTGTCTATCTTCCTAAACATCATTCACAGTAATGTGAATGACCACAGACTTAACGTGCGTGAAGGGTCACGTTAAAGCAAGGGCTCTATATCCAAGTCCAGGCAATACTCGTCATTGGTCCCCATACAGTTGACCACAACAATATTAGGTCCAAAAAATACATCTAGAATACTATAAGACCTGTTGTTGAACCCACGAACTCCGGAATGATAGACTAGAAAATTAAACAATAGGCCCTTGAGTTTAGCCAGAAAATGGACATTTATATTTTCACTAGAAAACCAAATTTTGATAGAAACTAAAAGTGATCACCACCAACCATTATAACATTAGTGTTTTTTTTTTTTAAGAAGAATCATTGGTCATGATTTCATCGGAGTATTTAGTGTTGATTGATTAAACTTGCGGATCTTTTGTTTCAGCTCTTCTCAATTTTATAGATTTAATGAAAGATGTGGTCTCGGTTTATCATGCTGAAATATCGTAACATATTGTGTATAAGACATATATATATTTATATTACCAGTAATATTTGTAGGTAACGCAGACCATACTTTTCCTTATTCCGGGTGGCTAGCTAACATAGAGTATTGGAATCAGGGTACTATGACACTCGGTATAAATTTCTCTTGTTTTGGAAACAACTTGCTCAGGACTCTGCTTTAAAAAACCAAAGGAAAAAATACACTTATCCCTTTATAGGGCTTCTTGTAAGTTCCTTTTCATGAAAAAAGTTGGTGGAAATATATGATCCAATGTTTTCAGTTTTCTGAACGTAGTTCCCTAGAATTTTTCAATCAGTCTAACTGAGGCAGGTATAGGACCCAATTTTGACAAAAACGAATTGATGTTAATCTCAATCTTCTGAAGAAAAACTTGTTTAAGGGGAATGCCAATCATGACAATATTGTTACGATGTTAATGCTGGTCCTAACTTTATATATAGCACTAAATTTAAATGTAATATTTAATACAGATTATTTTAAATTTAAGAATCTAACAATTTTTTTTTTAAATTTAACGTTTTTTGAACAAGCTGGAATGACTGACAACTCTCTAATAAAGAGTCTTTATAAACAAAGTTCAAGTTTATTTAAGACAACTGATGACAACAATCTAGAAAACGTCTTTTATTTACAGTTCAAAGTTGTTTAGTAAAAAAAAACAAGTTTTATATAATAACAAATTCCAAGGTCAATTCTCTACCATGTACTCAAAAAATATAACGGTTTCCATAAAAAAACAATTCCAAACCACCATTTAATCTAGTTCTATTGTCCAGACACCTTTTATCCATTATGCAAATATGAAAGAAACTGTTGAATTTGGCAAATTGTAAAATTAAAGCGCAACATTTTATGTTAAACTCCTTAAAGCTGATTGGTGGATTCATAGAACGATAAGGGTGGAAAAAAGGAAAAACTCCAATAGCATGACCTTTAGCAAGAAGAAACAAAAACAAGGGTTGTAAACCCTTACAAAACATCTTAAAGAATCTCAAGGCAAGAATATATAGGGAACATGTTTACTGCAGTTAAACATTCAACTTTTGAAGTTGAAACCAAACACATCACATACAAAATACAAATATTACAAATACTTAATAAATTTTAAAGAATTAAAAAAAATAAAATATTTAAAATTTTAATCAAATAAATTTCAAAATTGGTGAGTGTTAGTTTTAAAAAGTGTTCAAAAGTGCAAGTTATAAAGTTATTCTGTTCTGTTTAATCATAATTTATTAATTAATTATTTTATTAGAATTAATATCGAAATACTTAATTTTATAAGGAAAATACTTTTTATAGACAAATTCTGAGCTTAACAATACTAAATATATAATTAATTGTTTAAATATGTTTGTTAATTATTCAAAGTGCCGCAACAAACTTCATGCTTTCGTTATATTGCTACTTTTTTTATTTATTGCGTACAAATTATAAACGTTCCAGTGTCAAGTGTCAATTTTAAGTTTAATCAAATGCTGTGAATTTCTAATGGATTAATCCATTACATCTGCATTATTAGTACGCATTTTGGCGAAATCTTCAAAGACAATATTGTCATCATCATCTTGATAATAACCTTTGGTATTGCGATGCTGTTCAATGGACTTCATTTTCTTCATGGCATTCGAACGTTTCTTGTCAACGGAACCTAAAAGTTTTATTATAAATGAGCAGATTATGAGTGTGTTTTGAATAGTCTGGGTTTATGTGTATTTTACCTGGTGCCGGTTGTAGTAGTTTGAAGGGTACATCGGTTTGAATTTCACCACCCAATGTACCACAATTCAACTTGATACGTACTGAGTATGAGATCACAATACCACAAGCATCTCCGGTTGATTTGCCATCTTGCACCAAAGTTGAAGAGGCCAAGTTGACATCTTCATCCTTAAGATGACCATCCAAAGCAATACCTGGGAAATAGTTTTCAATTTAGTTTCAAATTTAATGGCTTTTTAATAATTGCATGAACCGTTTTATTTTACAAAAAGAAGTTTTGTTTTTGAAGCAAACAATTTTGTCAAATTTTAGTTAGCGCAACTAAAACTCTGCTACCACTACTAAAAAATTGTCTCACTAAGTTTCAATTGTTCATTTCAATATAAGTTTGGTGTATATTAACGAAAAACTTTACGAAATGATGTTGAGAGAACCGATAATTTTGTTTAGCAAAAGTAAAATCTCGCTATCAAAATTCACTCATTAAGTTTTGGTTACCACAATGATATTTCGTTGTTTAACGAAAATCTTTCCGAAATTATCTTAAGAATGAGAAGAGTATTTCCTTTCCTTATGATACTCACCATGACGATCTTTGTTATTGGAAGCCAATGGTATCAAATAGAAGGTCTTGCTTAAATTAGCTCCCGGTGTTATGGGGCAGCCTTCTTTTGTCTCCAATTGCGCCACATGTTTGCTAAATTGGGCATTAACCATTGTAATCTCCGTATGTTGAATAATGAAGACTTTAATATTTTTAACCGCCTTCTTGGAGTTATTATTGATCTGCACGGTGGCAGCTACCTTTTCGCCATGATAGTAAATCTCACGATCCAAAGTTACCTCCAAACTGATTTTGCCATTTGAAAAGGTAAAACCTTTGCTTACCAACGAGCTGGGCAAACGTTGGCCACGAGTAGGAGGAGCATATTGCAATTTCTTAATAACCAAACTGACCATGCTGCGTTTATGTTGGCGATCATCTTCGGAATCGGCCACATAGGCACGAATGGTATATTCCACACCCAAGGGTTTGCCCAAGTCATCACCATCCTGTTGCAAAGTTACAGAGCTGGGTGAATTGGGTGGGAAATGGAAGGTAAAGGGATGAGCATTGACACCCAACTTGCGCACCAATTTCTCTTGGGTGGGAGTCATTTCCATGTTGGAATTGCTCATGGGGACAATTTGTTCACGACACAAAATAAGCTCCTTGGAGAATTTTACTCCCATGACTTCATCCTCCTCGCGGCCATAGCGATAGATGGTGGCTAGTTGGCCAAATACTTTGCGGTTTTTCAAATAATCCGGATCCACCACAATCACACCATCCACGGGGTCAATATAATCCAAATGGTCTATGAAATCCCTTCTACCCAAATAGAAAGTAACTTTTCCATTGGGTGTTGCTTTCTTAAAAACTTTTACCGAAACCACCATAATCGTTTAAATTTTTTAGAAATTAAAGAATTTTTTTTATAATAACTCGTATTTCGTTCTTGCGTCCGGCTAAGAAGAAAATACGGTCAAATAGTGTTTGGCACCTGCTTTTATACCTTTTGTTTTAGTTATTTCCCTTACAAAAAGACAATATTCTTTGAAAGGTTTCTTTTGGGTGTTTAGCACTAAATGGATTTATTTTTCACTTTTTTTTTTGCCAACAGTTACTGAACATGTCACTGTAAATGTTTTTATTTTTATTGTTTTGTACTTAATTTTCCACTTTTACACAGTACAATTTTCTTAAATAAGGAAGATACTTTAGAGGGGATTAGAATGTTGCAAACAACATGTTGGCATTTATACCGTTATGCCACCTCTGGTGGTGGTGGCATAAAAATAGTTAATTTTAAATCTAACAAATGTCAAGTTGTTTGGTGTTTAGCAGTGTTACATGTATGCAAATGAGCATGTTTAAGTCTTAAACCTCTCTAACCTTCGACAAGGTCTCTGGGAGGCATATGGAAGAATTGGAGGGGTGTGACTCATTTAATAGGGAATTTGTGGGGAAATTTGATTTGTTAAATTAATTGATTATTCAATAGATGTTGTTGTAGTTGATGAAATTGTCTAAAATGCTAAGATATCGGCATAAGATTTGGGCACTGAACCATTTTTTCCCGGAATACGATCAGGAAATATCAATTGAAATCAATACTTTATTTGTTTGTTTTCAATTTAAAAATGTCGATTTTTTGGGGATTTTGCAGCTTAAGATTGGGGGGATGATATGAGTCAAAATTCTGTTAGTCTTTTTTCAGTTTTGTTTTGACAGCCGATTGAGCAAAATCTGCCCCGATGCTATCAAACTGCATATACAAAATTTCCCTCTGTTTGGAGGTTGTGTCTTCAATAAAAAATGTAGTCATCTAATGCTAGTCTCCAAAAACGCTAATTTTTTATCGATAATAACGATATTGCAGAAAAAATATCGAAAAAACTCTCCACATTTATCGATAATTTTATATTTATCGAAAAAAAGTTTCCACAACGTCGTGGAAACTTCTTTTTTGTTAAATTTTTTTTGGTTTTTGTTTTTTATGTAAAATAATAGAAAAAAATAAAATAAAAAAATTAAAAAAGTTTGGGGATCGAAATAAAAAAATTTCATGCTTTTTTCGTTGTTTATAGTTTTCTGATAGTATGTCAAATATTAGCATACTTTTCGGCAGCAAAATAAATCATTATGGTTGTAGTATTGGATAAAGGGATGTTTAACGCATTAAGGTGTGTGACTTTAATACAGATCCTATTTTAGTTATATATGGACGTTTTGGACGTTATTGTTACAAAAACATTCACAATAAACTAAACATAACATTACGGGTTGTGGGATGTGCTAAATATCGTAAAAACTCTTCTAAAACGTTAAATTTTCAAATACTATGCAGATAAGTACATCAACGCACATTAAAAATAATTCCCTTAACATTTTGGACAAAGTTTCTGTATAAAATTTTCAAAAGATTTTACTTACATATAAGAAGAATTAATAACTTTATAAGATCTAAAGTAAATAACAATTAAGAAAAAACTAATTAATAAAATCTTTTCAACATTACAGTTCAAAAATGTACTCCACATATACCACAGCTGAACGTCATGGTTACAGTGTGCAATTTTCAACATTTGAAACAGATCGACTACTGCTTGCAACAAGGTAAATATTTAAACAAAATCCCTCAAATCCCTCAAATACCCCACCAAAACCCTTGAAATCCATCCATCCCAACAAAACTAATACAAAAATTCTCAATTTTTTTCTCTTTATCTTTCCCTACAGCCAACTTTATGGTTTAGCAGGCGGTGGCTCTCTTTTTCTTTTACAGCATCTTCCACACAAACAGGGTCTCAGCGAGGTTGCACGTCTCGAATGGTCCGATGGTCTTTTCGATGTAGCCTGGTGTCCGTATGGCAACAATATCGCCTGTACTGCTTCGGGTGATGGTTCATTGCAAATCTGGTCGGGTCTGGACGTACCGTATGACGCTTCCGATAGTTCGGATTGTTTGAAAATGCCCCAAAAACCAGTAATGTGTTTGCGTGAACATAAAAACGAGGTATACAGTGTGGATTGGAGTGAAAAATGGAATTATCATCAGATACTTTCGGGCAGTTGGGATGGTGCGATTAAGTTGTGGGATTGTAATCGCCAAAAGTCGGTAGCCACCTATATGGGTCACTCCGATCTGATATATAGTGCAAAATTTTCACCTTTAGTGGCAAATATATTTGCTAGTGTAGGTACTGATGGTTTATTAAACTTATGGAATTCTTTTGATTTTTCAGGTAAACCTTTGATGTGCATTAAGGCCGCCCATGATGCGGAAATCTTGTCGTTGGATTGGAGTCAATTCGATCGCAATGTCTTGGTTACCGGTGGAGCTGATGGTCTAGTGCGCGGCTGGGATTTGAGGAATATGCGCCAACATGTGTTTGAATTGTTTTCGGGAGAATTTGCTGTCAGACGTTTGGCCTTCTCGCCGCATAAGGCTTCAGTTTTGGCCTCGGCTAATTATGATTTTACCACTAGGTAAGTAATTTTATAAAAATTGGAACATTGAACCTTTTGTTTTATATACATTTTTATTTATTTTCTTTTTTTAAAGAATTTGGGACTTTGGTGTTTCTTCGGATGCCATTGAAATCCATGAACATCATACAGAATTCGTTTGTGGTTTAGACTGGAATGCTGCAACACCACATCAATTGGTTGACTGTGGCTGGGATAGTGTGGTTAATGTTTTTACACCTAAATCTTTAAAACTGTGAACGTTAGAGTTGAAACAACCCCAGAGTACCCAATCATGAATTGACAAATCAATCAATATGGCCTTAAACTGTAAATAGTAAAGAAGAAGAAAGACGAAACGAACAACACACAAGTGTGATAATAACCAATGTGCCACCAAAGTGCTCCATCTAGCCGTTTAGTCAGCATGTAGTAACGTTCGTTACGTTATACAACAAACGAAATTTACACCATTTCCAAAGGGCATTTAAGGAAGGTTGGATTAACTTTAACTTAACAGTTAAACAAATTTTAGGAAAATTTTCCAAATTTTCATTTAAAAAAAGTTTCAAAAACATGTATTCTGCAAATCCGATTTGTTTTCTGAAGACTAAATCCAACCATAAACTCTACTCAAGATATTTATGGCTTCCAAAGCATTACTGGGTAATTTACAGTCTGTTTCGGATAGTTGTATTGTTGTATGATAAGTAATTACACGTCAATACAACGATACAATACAGATTGTGAATTGCCCAAATGTTTTGAATATTTCACCAAAGTGTCCTTACAAAGTCAATCATTTCTTATAAATTAAGAGATATACAAATTTATTTCAGTAAGTTTTTTTAAATTTTTTTTTAAAAAATAATGAAAATTTTTGAAAAATAATTCAATTTAAAATTTTGGAAATTATATTCTTTTCAAATGCAATCTGGAAATGGTGTATAATTGATCGTTCATAATCAACAAGCACGTTTGGATAATATTGAATATATAGCAAAGCTAAAGCTGAACTGTTTTAAAAACGTTAATAATGTGATAAAAAATAATAATATTCGAAGAAATAATCCCAGTTATTGATAAAACTAATATTAAAAGTCGTATGTTTAATAAAATACATAGAATTTTAGGTTATGTAAATATAATAATTACTAATAATAACACTTTTTAACACTTAACTAACATTTAATGAAATGCCTTTCTAATTTGTTTTTTAAATTATTTTCTTTCAGAAAGATCTCAAAGTTTTATTATGCGTTTTTTAATAAAAAAAAGTAAAATAAAAAATTAATATAATTATAAAAATATTGTTTGATATAAAATTTCGGTTAAGAATATCATTTGAGAGGAAATTATAAATGATTAAAGTTTTCATCCATATTCCGGTATTTCGAATGTTAAATCAATTAGTTTCAATCGCTTTCAACTATGGTCAAATGATACCCTATAAACCATAAAACCCTATAACCCTATAACTATAAAATTAATGAGCGTCATCAAGTAGTATAGAACTTAGTTTTGCAGCTTTTTGTCGAGATACGAGTATATTAAACATAATTATGATCTTAAGAGCCCTATTCGGCGGGTTCAGTTGTATGGGGGCTAGGTGAAATAATGGACTGATGTTAACCATTTTCAATAGGCTTCGTCTCCGATATTGAATTATCTTCAATATTACGACCTGTAGTTTGATTGCAAGTTTTACAAGCTTTATTCAGGGGTTCAGTTGTATGGAAGCTAGGTGAAATAATGGTCCGATAGAAGATCATGTAACAAATTTCATTGAATTATCTTCAAAATTGCGACATGTAGTTTGATTACGGACATAGCTAAATCAGAAAATGATTCTAAACCGATTGGTATACTTTAAGGTGGGTATAGGACCAATATTATTGAGCGCTACAAACATCAGCACAAACATGCAAGCCTTGCCAGACTATACATTAATTCGATTTTAATCTTAATTCAGAAAAATTTTAATAATTTCTTGACAAAAAAAAAAAAGGTTTCCTAAAAGATGGGTCATTAGGGGCTGTAGATTAATATGCTATATTCTTATAAAATCTGAAGGGAACTTCTTTGTATGAGGACTAGGGTCAAATGAGTCCCGATCATTACGAATATTGGCAGTATCATTTAGGCTTTTGCCGATTTTTGGAGAGATACAAGAACATTTAATATATTTATGAGCTCCAGGGGCTACGGTTGTATAGGGGCATGGCGAAATAATGGACTGAATTTAACCATTTTTAATAGGCTTCTTTCTTGGGTCAAAAGTATGTGCCAAATTTCATGAAATTATCTTGAAAATTGCTATCTGTAGCGAGCCCACAATGTTTGCATAGACACACAGACGGACAGACAGATGATCGGACAGATGAACATAGACTCAGAAAGTGATTCTGAGCCGATTAGTATACTTTAAGCTAGGATGTAGGAGATTTTTAAGGGTGCAACTTCAAAGTTAATTTCAAAAATCAAACAAAAATCATAAAATCTATCTTAATCGATACAAGTTATGAATTTAATAAGGTCTTAATCGATCTAGTTCTAGAAGTTGTTCCAGATCTACTTAATTGTTTTCAACAATATTTCATTATCAATGTTAGTGCAAGCTATAGAAAAATATACAAAACTTTTTGAATTGTGCAAAAAAAAAAAAAAATCGAAAACAATACAATTTGTATACCATAAGCAGACATATGACGCGATACTAAAGATTTTCACAGTATATATTTTCATACAATTCCCTAATCTATTAAACTCAAGTGAGGGCCAAAATTATTTAAGAAGAAAAAAATTCAATAAATTCCAACGATCACATGCAGTGTGAGACGTCAGCCTTTAAAAATACGAAGTGAAAAAAAAAACAAACGGCAGCAAGAAGACAACAACGACGACGTTGAATAGGAAAATATATATACTAAAACTGAACTCTCCCACCCTCAACCCACAAACAACAAAAACACATAGCCTGCAATCGAAATATAAAAAACATGTGAATGTTTTTATTTTATATATTGTTTCAATAATAAAATTGTTCAATGTTCACTTGTGTTGAATGTTGAATGATGTCGAGGCGCGTGATTTGCTTTTGAGGTGTTTTTATAAATAAATTCCCCAAAAATAATACACCTACACAATTGTATACTTTTTTTGCTTGCCTTCATACTCATTCTAAGCTGGCTAAACGATCGAGCGACCGACCGACAGGCAAGCAGGCAATTGGATCGAAACGATTGTGAGAAATGCTCGCTCCGATATTTGTTGAATACTCTCACATCTTTAAAATAATATTGTACTTTTATAGCATTGGAGCAAAATTTGTTGATGACCACTTTGGTTTGCTAGTGGGAGACTGTTAACGGCACTTGTGTTGGCTCTTATTTAGATTTTTATAGATTTTTTATGGTTTATGGTGTGGCACACCTATTCATAGCCATTTTTGCACATTCCTGTGTACTCACTTGCCACGTCTGTGTTTTTATGGTTTTTCATTTACGTTTTGTTGTTTTCTTAATGCACCTCCATCGTTTGTTTCATTTATTAACTAACACCCATACACCCCCTTTTTTACCTCTTCAAAGTGTCGAGCTAGTGTGTGACTGATGTGTATAGTATCCAAAAATAAAATTGCATTGTGTGGAATTGTTTTAAATATAGATTTTGTTGACATAAAAATAAAATGCGCAGCATTGGTACATTTTTGTGGCATTAATATTAAAAAAGATTCTATTAAAAAGTCATAAACAATTACGAATAGAATTAGTGGTGTGTCAATGATTATTTGGACAGATTTTTAATGCGCACTAAGTGTAGATATAAATTTGATTGCTAATGTTTTAGATATTTTAAAAACTTGTATAATATTTGGTGGAAATAAAGAACTGACTCTAGTAAATTTTAGCGTTTTTTTGACACTTATTAATTTTGGGTTTTCGAAATACTAGTCAGCATATGCCCATGAACGTTACGACACATCAGAAAGGATCCTAGTGTATATTCCCTTAGAAAAGTGTCTTGATCATCCGGTCTTCGGTTGTCCAAAAGTGTAGTATTTCGAGCATCGGCTTCGCGAAATAAGGCCTTTCTTTGACATATAAACTATGTATTTGTAATCCAGGGACTATGCTTATATTGCTATACTTTTTGTTGAGTATTGTACTCAAGTTTATGCAACAATGTTATAGACTTGTATAAAGTCTAAAGTGTTGAGTAATGCTGAATCCGAATATGGCATCAGAATTTCCCCATGATATCAGATTTTCTAGATATCATGTCAACAAAAACATTGCAAAACCCCCATCTCTTACCATATTTGAGACTTTATAACAGCGCGAAGACATCTATATTTATAAGATTTTTTATGTCGTCAGAAAGTCCAATCTGTCGACTTTAAACTATAGGTTTAACCTCTGTTATATCTTCTTTCAAGATCGAGATATGTATCTTTTCACAAAGTTATAATCATAGTTTCGGAAGCTATATATGAATACACCTTATCTTTATGTCTAATATCGTCGGAAAGTCATTCGTGAGATAGATCCAGAAAACATTAAAAAATCTTGTAAAGTTGGATTGAAAGAATAAGTCCCGAAGTCTGTCAGGTCTTCGCATGAATTGAATTTCTTCAAATCCTTAAATTTAATTTCTTACCAAAATTCGTGTTTTTACTAATAATCTGATATTTTCATTACTATTCTTATTTTTTCACAATTTTTATCACTAGGTCAGGAATACTAATGGGGTTTCAAAAATAAACAAATTTTATGTTGTCAGGATTGGCAAAATTTTAAAAATTTATTTCCTCATTAAAAAAGTTATTATTCCAAATTGTACTTCTGACACAAAGTTCAAAGTACTAACGATTTCCATCAAAACATTATTCGAATTTGTAATTCTGACATAAACTTCAAAGGACAAACGATTTCCGTCGAACGATTCTTGTTCATCATATTGTTAAGAAACCTGAAAGAGCTACTTTTTTAGGAATAGAATTACTTTAAATTTTTTATCCGATTTTATAAAAGACTTCTAAAATTGTCTTTTAAGTGCAACATCAATAGACGTTTAAAGTACTTTTTACTAGTCTATAAACTAGTCTAATGACTTTACTACAGCCTACTTTATTAAATAGTCCTGGAACTAGTCTATGAATTAGTATTTGGACTATTCTATTGTGAAGTCCATAGGCTTGCCTATTGTCTGGTCCAAACACAAGACTATTGTCTAGTATAGTGAGTAGTCTGAAGGCACCGGATTACTCAGTCCGACAAATTTTTAACCTAGAGATCAAAGTACACTTTTCTAAAGTATTGAATCTGAATCTGACCTCAAATTTTCTTCTTCGCATCTGGGATCCCAGATATCGTGTCCTAAAGTTTGTTAGTCTCTTTTTGAGACGTTATAACAGCGCTGAGATAACCTTAGTCTTTTTCGATATATCTTCAGAGCAAACCAATCCTTTAGAAAAGTATAACTTGTTCTCAGAGTTTCATCATTTTTGACTAGTCTATTGGGTGATCTATGATATATGTATGTAGATATTAGTATATTTATTAGTCCACAGGCTGGTTTTTCGG